CAAAGCCATCCACAACTCCGCCCCCGGATATATCTCCAACCAACTGTCCCCTCCGCTCATCAAAAGAGCTATTGTTTTTCAGCTCCCTCGTCATCTCCTCCCATACTCACCTCCAGGACTTCTCTAGAGCCTCTCCAATACTCTGGAACTCTCTACCCCAACCTGTCAGTCTATCTCCCAGTCTGACTGCCTTTAGGCGATCCCTAAAGACTCATCTCTTCGGAGAAGCCGATCCCACCTCAACCCAACCGCTCAACCATCACGTTCTCAGACAATTCATTACCCACACAGCTCCCTCCTCATGTATCACTGGCCCCTCCCCTTTTAGATAGTAAGCCCTCAGGGGCCGGGCCCCCCTCACCACCTTTCCTTGAATTGTATTGTGATTGTAATGTCTTCCTTACATTGTACAGCGCTGAGCAAACTGTTGGCGCTCTATAAATCCCGTATACTAATAACAACATAACAGCCATTCTCATAAGCCATGGTATATACTGGCCACTCATCTATACCGGCGACTGGTGTTGTCACCTCCTATTTTTATGATAAGCAGTATGCTGAAGTGACAGGTTCTCTTTAACATAGCAGTGCTCTGGAAAGTGTTATTGGGCTGTGTTTATATACGTTACTATTCCGAGAGCTCGGTAACGTACAGATTGACATTTTTAGCAGTTGGTACATTAAAGCAAATGAAAAATAAGGTGTTTGTGTCACTCCCGTCGCCGCCAGCTCATCAATCCTCCTCGCTTCATTGTCCGGCCCCTTGATAATTTCATGGAAAGTTATTCCCGCTCTACAAGTTGTATAAACAGATGGGAAGAAGCTCCACATAGGGAGATTTGGCTCCAAAGATAACATTTTCAGTCTGGGCCCCTCCCTGCCCGGGACACAGCTGCTGGAATGTCTGCCGCTGATATGTTATTCTGTTCTTGCTTCTTATTGAGTTGAGGAGAAGCGGAATGCGATACAATGTAACGATATAAGATGTTGCTGGAATCAAGCCCCCCATGTTGGAAAGGCCAAAGGGTACGCCCCCGTCCCCGTCCCCGCCATGAGCTGTGAACTAATTAGCAGCATGGTGTGCAGACCTTTCCGCACCTCGCTCTTTCCGGAGCACCCAAGGTGGCCGCCTCTTCTTCTAATTAGCAGGAAAATTCCAGCTCCGAGTGCGCAGTCGGAAGATGTGATCGCGGAATGACCTTTCCGGGAACAAATCTAACATGCTGGACCAATGACTGAGCCGTGGGAACAGGGGGAGCAGAGGTTGTGGCTGTAAGTGGGTCCTTGAGCTGCAAGGGGCCCGTGGGACTTATATAGCCATAAGCTAATGGCAAATGTTCCCTATCCCCATAGGTGTCATAGGAGTTGGGGTGCGGAGGAGGGGTTATAGGAGTTGGGGTGCATAGGTGCGAAGGAGGGGTTAGAGGAGGGGTTATAGAAGTTGGGGTGCATAGGTGTGGAGGAGGGGTTATAGGAGTTGGGGTGCATAGGTGCGAAGGAGGGGTTAGAGGAGGGGTTATAGAAGTTGGGGTGCATAGGTGTGGAGGAGGGGTTATAGGAGTTGGGGTGCATAGGTGCGAAGGAGGGGTTAGAGGAGGGGTTATAGGAGTTGGGGTGGTTAATTGTGAAGAAAAGGGTTTAGGAATTGGTATGGAGGAGGTGGTATAGATGGTGGGGTTTAGGTGCATAGGAGGGGTTATAGCAGTTGAGGGGTTAGGGGTAGAGGAGGGGTTATAGCAGTTGAGGGGTTAAGGGTAGAGGAGGGGTTATAGCAGTTGAGGGGTTAAGGGTAGAGGAGGGGTTATAGCAGTTTGGGGATTAGGATTAGGTGTGGAGGAGTCATAGCAGTTGGGGTGTTAGGTGTAGAGGAGGAGTTATAGCAGTTGGGGGGGTTAGCTGTGGAGGAGGAGTTATAGCAGTTGGGGGGGTTAGGGGGGGGGGGGGGGTTGTGGCGGTGGGGGG